GAATAGTTTTTTTATAAGCTAGATCTTAATATTATAGATTACTTAGTAGCTAGAGATCTATATATTACTAGAATTCTAGAAAAGTCTATTCTAAGTATACTAATAATTAAGTACTTTTTCTAAAGTAAAGATACTATCTATATTTACTTTACTACGTATATAATTAAAATAGAAGTAAAGCTATATTTAAGTAAAGTAATAGAGAGTTATATTTACTAGTAGTAAACTATATTAGAAGAGATTCTTAAAAAGAGTAATAAGAAATAAAATAAAGATAAAAAAGTATTTATAAGTTATCTTTAGTAAGTAAATACTATTATATAGATAGTAGTAGTATTAGAGTTCTACTAAAGCTAGTAAGAGTATAACTATAAGAGAATAGTTATTATATTATAGTTATTAGTTAGTGTCTTATATCTAATTTTATAGACTTTATTTAGTAAAAAAATATTAAAAAACGCCTAGCTTCTAGGCTATCTTAGAATAGCTAGAAAATTTTAAAATTTTAAGATATTTAGTGTATATTACTATTAGCACTAATACTTATATAAACTATAACTATATATATTTATATACTTTTAAGTAGTTTATATAGTAGTTAAGAACTATACACTATACTAATTACTTAGTAAGATAATATAGTAGTAATAGAAATACTATACTAGGCCTTATAGTATCTATCTTATAGAAAGTAACTAGCTAATAACTATAATATAATAACTATTTCTCTAGATCTTAATAGAAGTTATAGTAGTCTATTATAGCTACTATCTAATAAATAGTATCTTACTATATAAGGTAATTTATAAACGCTATATTCTTACTATACTAGCTTTTATTACTTTTATAAAGTATCTTAGCTAAAGTATTTCTTTACTAGAGTATAGCTTTTTATAAAGCTAGAGAAGAAAGTAGTATTACTTTACTTTTTACTTTATATACTTAGTTATAAATAGTAATAGTATAATTAATTAAAAGTATTCTTTTAGTAAAATAGTTAATAGAATAGTCTTTTTATTCTATCTTTCTTTTAGATAAGAAACTATAATTACTAAAAAGCTTATATATCTTACTAATAAGCTTTTTAAAAGTAAGAATAAAAAAGAAAATAATAAAAAGTCTTATACTAACTATATATATAGTAAAGATAATAAAAATAGAAGTAATAGAAATAAAAGTAATAGAAATATTAATAAGCCTAGTATATAGCTTTAAAGTACTAGTAAAGTAGCTCTTTAGAGCGCTTATAACAGTCTTTAGTATAGTATAAATATAGTAGTTTATAATAGCCTTTATAATAGCTTCTAGAATAATAACTTTAAGAGAACTTATAAAAGTAGTAATAGTAACGCATTTAAAAGAAAAATAATTAATATAGTAATAATAAAAAGCTTAATTAAGCTTTAGTAAGTAAAGTAATATAACTAGTAATAAAATTAGCTTTAGGTAGACTTACTAATACTAGAAAAACTTATAGAAAAGAGTAAGAATATAGTTAAGAGCTTATTTAATTAGTATAGCTTTTAGTATTAGATTTAAGCTACTATTTATATCTTTAATAAGTTTTTAGATCTCTAATTTTACTATAAGCTATAGAATAAGAATAAGAATAAAAATAAGAATAGAGATAGAGATAAAGATAGAGATAGAGAGTATATATATAGTAGAAGTATAATTTTATAAGCTAAGATTTTAGTATTTTATTACTTTATAATTTATAGCTTAGTTAGTTATAAGCTATTAAAAATATATAATTATATTATAATTCTCTTTACTATAGGTAGATATTAGTATTTATAAAATAGTTACCTTACTACTCTAAATTTTAAAAGCTTTAACTACTACGCTAAAAATAGTAGCGCTAAAAATTTAAGTTTTAGTCTACTTAATACTTATACCTTTAAATATAAGATTTTAATCTTTTTAAAATATATTTTTTTATATACTAGTAATAGATCTTACTCCTTTTAGACTAGCTTTTACTATAGAATTATTAGTTTACTAATAAATAATTAATAAATAGTTATTAGTAAATAGAGATAATATTATAGTTATAGTTAATAAAGAATAAATATAGTAAGTTCTATTAGTAGTATACTTATTACTATATATTATATTATTTCTAGTTATTTTTAGTTATAGTATAAGAAAAGTTATATAAGTAAGTATAGAGTTAGTCTATACTATAGGCTAGTAATAATCTTATTACTAATAGTAATATATTCTAAATTAATATTAAAATTATTTTTATAGTTCTAAAAGAGACTAGCTTAGAGTCTTTTAACGCCTTTTAATATCTTTTAATATTTTTTTACTATAAAGATAACTCTAAATTAGACTTAAGGTACTAAAAGTATCTTTTTAGTAAAAAATTAAAAATATTAAAATATTAGCTAAAAGCTTAGTACACTAAGCTTTATAAAATTTATAATTTAACTAATTATAAGTAAGCTATAGAGGCTTTACACTTTATACTTATTCTTATATATATATACTATTGCTTGCAACACGAACTTAATAAATTTAAAATACGCGTTCGACAGCTATGTGCTGCTCACTAAGTATTCGAAATGACCGCGACTTCTAGCATGGGCCGGTTATTCGAGAGCCGTGGTCACACAGCTTTCGCATTCGGCGGTCGTATGCATAGGTGCTCTTGAAGACGACATTGAACATGTATTCGCGCACTTGCTAAACGCCAAAATGAGGTATCATGAGAACTAAGGAGAGAAGACAGCTAGAGAAATGCAAAAGACTTAAACCGAAACATGAAAGACCAAAAGACAAACATACCATCCCACGCATATCCCATATCAGATTACCTTCCATTCCTAACAAAACAAATTACACCCACTTTTGAGACACCACAGCACTCTTCATCTACTGAATCCTTTCATCCCTGTCCGTAGCGCCATAGCCCACGGGCTTCCTGGCCCTTCCAGTGACATCACTCCACGCAGCACCGAACCTGCGTCCAGTACTAGCCAGCAGACCCTCCTCTTCCTCCTCCTCAAGGTCGCGATCAATCTGTTCCTGATCCAGACTAGGCGCCTTGAACAGCGTAGTCAAGAACACAATAAGGTAAACACCCAAGAAGGCGAATTGAGCCCAGAAGAGGACGACACCGAAGAAGGGGAAGTTGATGGTGACGCGGTTGATGAAGGTGCTGAGCACGGAAGGTGTGCAGACCTGTTGCGCAGCGGGGTTGGTAGCGAGTTCGCTGCAGGCCTTGATGAGGTCCTTGTGCTCGGTGCAATCGGGTTGTTCGTCTAGGCTGTTGGTCTTCATGTCGCAGTAGGTTTGCGGGCCCCAGGTGGCGTATTGGGGTGCGACGACCATGGCGACGGAGTAGTTGATCGCGAGGGTGATGAGTGTGAGGAGGACGGTAGCCATGAGCAGTGCCTGGGGCGAAGTATGTCCCTTGCGGATCTTGAAGATGGTGATCCACAGGAAGCGGATGCCAGCCGTTGCAATACCGACGACTGACGCCGAGAAGAAGAAGAGAACGAGGAGGAGGAACATAACATAGTCGATGGGGAAGACCTTGGCGGACTTGACGAGGATGTAGTTGAGCGGCTGGAAGATGTTGATGTGGCCGAGGATGTAGCCGCAGTGGGCGCCGCAGATGGAGTTCTTGGCCTTGTCGATGCCGGTGATGAGCATGCTGGCGAAGATGACGAGGGCGAAGACCATCAGGATGAGGCCGCCGATGAGCTTCAGCGGGCGGAAGAAGGCTTCGGTCTTGATCCAGGCCTTGACGATCCAATGGCGGTCCTCGCCGCTGGACTCGGCAGCGAGACGCTCGCGGCGGATGAGGGTGCGCTCTTCGCGGACAAGGGCTTCAAGCTCCCGTCTGTCCCTGCTGTCCAGTCCGCCCTCGCTGCCTTCGTTGCGACCTTCGAGCTGTCTCTGGCGCTCGCGGTTGTTCTCCAGCTGGGACGCGGTGTTTGCGGCGAGCGTGGGGGCTGAGACGGATGGCGCGGACTTGATCATGGCGACGGGGAGGAGAGCCATTCCAGCACCGGTGTAGAGCACGAAGAGGACGGTTCCAACGGTGATGAGGAAGCCGAGGCCGAATGATAGAGCGCGTTCGCCATCTAATAGAGTTAGTCAACGTCAATGGATAGATGAAGTCGCTGCTTACGGTTCTCTGACAGAAGGTGCTTGAAGTAGTCGAGATCAAGACGCTTATCATCCTTGGCCTGCTTCGCAAAGGGCACGAAGAAGCCGACGAGGAAGATTGCGACTACAAAGATGAGGAAGCCGAGAGTCCACTTGAGAGCACCAGCAATGCGCTGGCCAGCTGTCTGCTCGCCATGCTCGGCCGCGTCCTCATCGTATTCTTCGTACCAGAAGTAGGTGAAGGGAATGACGAGAAGGCAGAGAAGCGCATCGAGCGAGTAGAGCGTGTAGTAGACGATGCGCAGAGTGTAGACAATGCTATCGACCTTCTCCGGCGTCGCCCAATCCTTCTTGCGGCCTAGACTGGATCTCGAGGTGGATGAGACGAGAGCGACATCGACCGGAATGAGCAGGACGGTTGCGAGCAGGGCGAGAGTGGTGAAGATGCAGACGATGGTAACGGCCGCGGCGCGATCGCGCGGCTTCTGATAGACATAGACGAATGTGGACGCGATGAGGAAGAGGATTCCCACGGCGACGGCGTAGGCGACCCAGATGAGAGAGGTCTGTATCAGCGCCATGTTGATACCCGTGGACAGCAGTTGCTATCGCTGGAGGAGAGAAGAGGGGATTCCAGGTAGAAGCCGTCGCTGTTTGGAATGACGTCTAGCGGCCAGAACCCTGCTTCGATCCGCCCAGAACAGCTAGCATGGGTCGAACCTTCCCGGGCTGGAGCTCCAACACAACACGCTAGACAGAATCGCGCATGAGCTCTTTTGACGCGACCTCGGTCAACACCACGACTTCGCGCTGAGCTATCCCGCCCCACCCACGCACGACTGCCATGAGAAGTGTGGCAGCGACCTTCGACCACCACCATGCAGTGCTACACTGAGATAGCCCCGCCCACCGCCGTCAGCCATGCCATCAGCCTGCCCTTCGTGCACTCTAGGTCAAACAACCTAGTCGTCGCAAAGAACTCGCTGCTCCAGATCTTCGAGCTCAAGGCGACCACGACCGAAGTCACCCCGGGCGGAGGAAACGAGTCGGAGAATGCCGCGGCCAACCTCGACACAGAGGCGGCCGACGTGCCGCTGCAGCGCACCGAGAGCACGGCCAAGCTGGTGCTGGTGGGCGAGTTCCCCCTCGCCGGCACCGTCATATCGCTGGCGCGCGTGAAAGCGCTCAACACAAAGTCAAAGGGCGAGGCGCTGCTGGTGGCGTTTCGGGATGCAAAGCTCAGTTTGGTGGAGTGGGACCCGGAGACGTACAACCTCCATACAATATCAATACACTACTATGAGAACCCAGACTTGCCCGGCATTGCCCCTTGGTCCGCTGATCTCAAAGACACGTACAACTTCTTGACGGCAGACCCCAGCAGCAGATGCGCCGCCCTCAAGTTCGGCACCCACAACCTCGCCATTCTGCCCTTTCGCCAGCGTGATCTCGTCGAAGATGACTATGATTCCGATGCCGAGGCTCCCAAGGAGACCAAGGCTGAGCAGGCGAATGGCGAGCACAAGACCCCGTATTCGTCCTCCTTCGTCCTCCCACTCACCAACCTCGACCCTACCCTCACACACCCCGTCCACCTCGCCTTTCTGCACGAGTACCGCGAACCCACCTTTGGCATAGTCGCTGCCTCGCGAGCCACCGCCCCGTCATTACTCGCCCACCGCAAAGACATCCTCACCTACTCCGTCTTTACCCTCGATCTCGAACAAAAGGCCTCTACTACACTCCTCTCAGTCACCGGACTGCCGTACGACATTACGAGAGTAGTACCGCTACCATCTCCAATCGGCGGTGCTCTGCTAGTAGGAGGAAACGAGATTATACACGTCGACCAGGGAGGAAAGACGAATGGTGTGGCCGTGAACGAGTTCGCCAAGGCCTGCACATCATTCCCGCTCAGCGACCAGTCAGACCTGGCCCTGCAATTGGAAGGATGCCAAGTCGAGCTGTTGTCGCAGGACACGGGTGATGTGATGATCGTGCTCAACAGCGGGCGCATCCTCATCCTTACCTTCACCCTCGACGGTCGGACTGTATCCGGAATGACTATTCAGACTGTCTCGGAAGACCATGGTGGTCAGATTCTCAAAGCTGCCGCCTCATGTACGAGTAATCTTGGCAGAGGGCGATTGTTCGTTGGCAGTGAGGACGGCGAGTCAGTAATGCTAGGCTGGACTGGCTCATCCACTCAATTGCGACGCAAGCAAACGAATGCTGATTCCGACGGCGACGAGGACATGTCTGACGAGGAGGATATGGATGAAATGGAAGATGATCTCTACAACGATACAGCCCCGGCGGTTCAAAAGATCACCGCAGCTGTATCCGAGCCCACGGCGCCAGGAACGTACACATTCAGGATACACGACGTCTTGCCAAGTATAGCACCGATAAAGACCGCCGTTCTCCATCCTGGCAAGGTCACTGATTCTTTGAACAAGGGCGAGATCATGCTGTCTACGGGTAGAGGGTCGGCTGGAGCCATCACCGCTCTTGACCGCGAACTTTACCCTGTCAGTATCGCAACCAAAGAGCTTCCCTCAGCGCATGGCGTGTGGGCTGTGCATGCTCGAAAGCAAGCCCCGGGAGATGTGACTGCTGCATTTGGAGAGGACACTGAAGCCAACATGGCTACTGATGTGGACTATGACCAGTATCTGGTTGTCTCCAAGACCATCGACGACGGCACTGAAACTACTGTGGTCTACGAAGTCAACGGCAACGAGCTGACTGAAACCGACAAGGGCGATTTTGAGCGTGAAGAAGGCTCAACTCTCTTTGTGGGTGTGCTGGCCGCTGGCACAAAGGTTGTCCAGGTCATGCGGACAGAGGTCAGGACGTACGATTCGGGTAAGCCATGTCGTCCACATTATCAGCCTTCTCAGACTAACATGGTTGACTAGAACTTAATATGGACCAAATCCTACCCATGGAAGACGAAGAGAACGGAAACGAGATCAACGTCATCAACGCCAGTTTCGCAGACCCCTACCTACTGATCCTGCGCGAGGACTCCAGTGTCAAGATTTTCAAGGCTACCGGTGATGGAGAGCTTGAAGATGTTGAAGCGACTGGGCTGACGGGAACAACATGGCTTTCGGCCAGTCTCTTCAAGTCGTCCAGCTTCACGGAAGTCTTTGCCTTTCTCCTGACACCAGAAGGTGGTCTTCGCGTATTTGCCATGTCCGACATGGAGAAGCCGTGTTACGTTGCTGAGACATTGAGCTTCTTACCGCCGGTACTAGCAATGGATTATGTTCCTAAGCGGAGTGCGATCAAAGCTACCATCACCGAGATTCTAGCCGCGGACTTGGGGGATGCGACTACAAAGTCGCCTCATTTGATCGTAAGATATCATGTCAGACTTATATCACTCTAGCGACTAACGATATTCAGATCCGCACTTCCAGCGATAACCTCGTCATCTACAAGGCTTTCCATTCTCCATCAAGATCTGCTTCGGAACTCTGGACTCAAAACCTGAGATGGGTCAAGCTGTCGCAACAACACATACCCAGATACATCGAAGATGCAGGTTCTGAGGACCAAGGGTTCGAAAGTACACTGCTAGCAGTGAGCGATATCTGTGGCTACAGTACCGTCTTCCAGCGAGGCACAACCCCGGCTTTCATCTTCAAGGAGTCATCAAGCGCACCACGCGTGATTGGCCTTAGTGGCAAGCCCGTCAAGGGTCTCACATCATTCCACACATCGAACTGCCAGCGCGGGTTCGCATACCTTGATTCTACAGACACGCTGCGTATCTCACAACTTCCGCCTCAAACACACTACGGTCACCTCGGATGGGCAACACGGCGCATGCCCATGGATGCGGAGGTGCACGCCCTTGCCTACCACCCGGCAGGACTATACGTTGTTGGAACGGGCCAATTTGAAGAGTACCAACTGGATCCTAGTGAGACTTACCACTACGAACTGCCCAAGGAAGACATGAGCTTCAAGCCCAAGATTGAGCGTGGCGTCCTGAAACTACTAGACGAGAAGTCCTGGACCATCATCGACACGCATGTACTAGATCCCCAGGAAGTCATCCTCTGCATCGAAACGCTCAACCTCGAAGTCAGCGAGGTATCACACCAGCGCAAAGACCTCATCGCAGTCGGCACTTCGATTGTACACGGCGAAGACCTCGCAACTAAGGGTTGCATCCGTATCTTCGAAGTCATCACCGTAGTGCCCGAACCGGATCGCCCGGAGACCAACAAACGCCTTAAGCTCATCGTCAAGGATGAAGTTAAAGGCGCGGTATCCGCCATCTCAGGGCTAGGAACACAAGGCTTCATGATCATGGCTCAGGGACAGAAGTGCATGGTCCGAGGTCTCAAGGAAGACGGCACCTTGCTGCCAGTCGCGTTCATAGACATGCAATGTTACGTCAGCGACTTGAAGAATCTGCCTGGAACGGGTATGCTGGCTATGGCAGATGCATACCGGGGTGTTTGGTTCACAGGGTATACAGTAAGTTTTCTGATTACAGTAACTCGGCCCTATGAGATATGATGCTAACAGCGAAAACAGGAAGAGCCCTACAAGATGTCTCTCTTCTCCCGCTCAAAGCATAATCTAGAAACCATCGCAGTGGATTTCCTACCTTTTGACCAACAACTCCACCTCATCGTCGCAGACGCAGATATGAACCTGCAAGTCCTGCAATTCGATCCAGACAGTACACCTCCCACCCTCACCTCTAGACTTACACATCCAAACAGCCAACTAACACATCAACCTCACAGACCCCAAATCCGAAGCCGGCTCCCGCCTCCTCCACAAATCCACCTTCCACACCGGCCACTTCCCCACGTCCCTCCACCTCGTCCAATCCCACCTATCCCTCCCTTCCACAACCGACGCCTTCGCGTCCAACCCCGCCGTCACCGACGAAGACGACATGGACACCACAACCCCCTCCCCACCATCCCCACCCCAACCTCTCCACCAAATCCTGCACACAACACAGTCCGGCACGCTCGCCTTGCTCACCCCCCTAACAGAAGATTCCTATCGTCGATTATCTAATTTGACGGCTTACCTCGCTAATACGCTCGACTCGCCCTGCTCGCTCAATCCGCGCGCGTTTAGAATGGGCAGCGAGGCGACGGGTGATGGCGGGTGGGATGCGGGGACTGGGGCGAGGGGTGTGCTTGATGGGAATCTTTTGATGAGGTGGGGGGAGTTGGGGGAGAGGGGGAGGAGAGAAGGGCTGGGTAAGTATGGGG